CCTGGAGGATGAAGGAATTGATACCATTGAATGGCCCTATGCTCGCCTGACCTAAATGCAACAGAACACCTCTGGGATATTGCCAGGTTGCACCTCAGACTGTCCAGGAGCTCAGTGATGCCCTGGTCCAGATCTGGGAGGAAATACCCCAGGACACCATCCGTCGTCTCAGGATCATGCGTCGACTCAGGCACGCATAGAAGCATGTGGGGGCCATACAAACTACTGAGGATCATTAAACTAAAGTACTATGTAAATATATATACTTCCTGTGTGAGAGGCAGGTCCCCTGATAAGGCATTACAGTTGGCCCTTCTGTACCAACTCAGGGCCCCATCAGTTTAAAAGTGGAAGCCAGATAACTGCCGAACAGGAGGGCTGACTGTACTGGCTTATCAGCGGCAGACCTGTGTATATGCACATTATATCCATACACCCCCACCCTGCCAACTTCTCCATGTTTCCCTCTCTCTGTCTGAGCTACAGGGGATCCGTTCTATTATCTGCCCCTCACCCCCGCTTTCCCCTGCAGCTGTGATGACTTCTTTCTCTCCTCTCCCAACAGCAGGAGGGCACCCAATTGCCATGCTGCCCTGTAGCAGTATTTCTGCTATAGGGCAGCACGGAAGCGGTTAAGGATGGAGAACTCGGTATTGGTAAATATGTCATATTTACCGGCACCTGTTTTATGAAGGAACACAGTGAGTGGTCACTACAAATCTCTCACTGCGTCCAATCATCATTGAAGCATAGTAAACTGTTAATTGTGGAGTTTCTATGAAGAGCAATCACCATTTTGATTGCTATTCAGAGAGCATTTTCCAGGCAATGAGGAAATATTGCCTCCTCACCACCTACTCTAACCACACAGTAGTGGACTGCAATTGCAACCACTTGCCCTCCAGAGGATTTACCCCCCCCCCCCCTTCCTGACCAGGTCATTTTTTTGCATTATGGCGCTGCGTTACTTTAACTGACAATTGTGCGGTCATGCAACACTGCACCCAAATTTAAATTTGTCCTTTCCCACAAACAGCTTTCTTTTGGTGGTATTTGATCGCCTGTGCAGTTTTTATTTTTTGCGCTATAAGCAAAAAAAGACTGACAACTTTGAGAAAAAAACAATATTTTTGACATTTTGCTATTAAACATGTCCAGTAAAAAAATTAAAAAAAAAATCTAATTTCATCATAAATGAGGCCAAAATGTATTCTGCTGCATGTCTTTGCTAAAAAAAAAATCCCAATACGTGTAAATGAATTGGTTTACGTGAAAGTTATAGTGTTTACAAATGGCGGTATAGATACTGGAATTTTTTTTTCTACTAGTAATGGCGGCGATCAGAGACTTTTATCAAGACTGTGAGACTGCGGCGGACATTCTGGCACGGGGGGGGACTAACTTGCAGTTAGTGGCACCAATACAGTGATTAGTGCTAAAAACAAAGCACTGACACTGTACTAATGGCACTGGGCAGGAAGCAGTTAATGCGAGGGGCGATCAAAGGGTTAACTGTGTGCTGGGCGTGTTTTACTAGGGGGCAGGGGGGTGTGTTATTCAATGTAAGCACACTGATTGGAATGGCTGTACTGTGCACAGCCATCCTGAGCAGTGTGCTTGAGCTGACAGGTAGGAAGATTGTTTGTAAACAAAACAATCTTTCTCCCCGTCGGAGATGCTCCGTAATCACCGGGTGCCGGAGGGTAATTATCATCCGGGACACGGTGATTGACATCTGCGGCAGCGAATGGCGGTGCAGGTGGGCTTGTGTGCGCCCCCTACTTGGAAATGCAAAATCATATATATATATATATATATATATACACACACACACACAATAAATATATATATATATATATATATATATATATATATATATATGTGTGTGATTCTGCACACAGGTGTTGCCCTGTAGCAGTATATCTGCTGTAGGGCAGTCCTTAAGTGGGTAATCCCGGCAGGCCAACCAGGTTGGAGTACAATAGCGCACGGCTTCCTTAGAAGACCCAGACACTGCATAGAGCACCGTGCCAACTGTGTCCAGAGTGCTGAGCCTAAAGTGGGGTGGTCCTATGCCTACAGCCATTTTTCTGGGCTGGTCTTGTGCCTACACCTTTTTTTCTGCAGTGGTCCTGTGCCTACAGCCCCTTCTTCTTCCACTTGCCTGTGTAGCTGGTCCTGGTATCCCTCCAGCTGCTCACCTGGACTGCCAGACCCAGCCTAACTCTTTGTGAGGGAGACTTTGTCTCAGGGAAAGTGCAAGTAGCTGATTGTTCTTTACAGCTTGGTTTATTATATTAGTTATCCCTCTCTGTAATTTTTCTCTTGTTTTTTTCATGGGGTGTACTGTGCTGCCAACTAGTGACCTAGGGTCATCGCTCTTAGTGGGCCATTTGTTTGCATTGTTATTCCTGCTCTGTATTTAGTAAGTAATGTGTTGTTTGGGTAACATGACATGTTTTTCCCAAATATCATATGCTATACTGAAAATGTCAATTCACTATCCCTTTATGTGGTATTTTAAATAAGTGGTGGTCCAGGCATTTGATAGTTAAAGAATGTATTTAATTTCAGCTGGTTGTCAAGGACGCCAGCATGTTCCGGCTCCTTAACAACCATTAAAGAGCTGGTTGTCAAGGAGCTGGAAACCACCGCGTCTTTAACAACCATGAATCATCTGCTGTCAGTGGGGATTCCCACTAACAAAAGAAGAGCCAGCAATATAATTTTTTTACCAGGTCCGTTGGGTTCTGGTATGAATTTTGAGAGGGATCCCTTACCAAAATGTTTAAAAAAAATGGTGTGGGGGTGTCCCCCAAGATCCAAAACAGACCCTTATCTGAGCATGCAGGAAAAGGGTAAATGAGCGAGCACCCCCCCCCCTTGTAAATCATACCAGCCATACATCTTCAACATGGGGGGTGTTTTGGGGGGCTCCCCCCAAAACACCTTGTCTCAATGTTGATGAGGAATAGGGCCTCTTCCCCACAACCCTAGCCTGGGGGTGACTTATTGAAATCTGAAAGCCTCCTTTAACAAGGGGGCCCTTAGATCCCAGCTTCCCCCATGTACATAGTACCCATCCTCATTCACAAAAAAAAAAACCTGGCCAAATTAAAAAAACCTAGAGCCAGAGAACCCAGTGTTCTTTTAATAAAAAAGCCCAAAAAAATTAAATGTGCCCCAGAGTAAATACAGCGTCAATCATGATGAATGCAGGCGTACCTGCACGACAAAAATAAATACCCGGTACGCACCCGATGCTTGGTTCTCTTCAACTAACAGCTCGTCTTCCTACCTGCCACGAAATAAACCCAGCTGCCCTCATGTGACATCACCGACCAAGCAAGTGACCCATATGGAAGAAAAATATATTTGAAATGTATTTTAAAAATATCCTTCCCAAATATATTGCCTACAATTTTGGCCATATTCTATCTATCTATCTATCTATCTATCTATCTATCTATCTATCTATATATATATATATATATATATACACACACACATATATATACACATATACACTGCATGTTGAAATGCGTTTTTATTACAAAATATATGAAAAATATATGGAAAAATACATTTCAAATGTACTGTATGTCTTTAAAAAATACAAATCTACTTGGAATGCATTTACAAATAGATGTAAAAATATATGTTAAAATGTTAATATATATTTAAAAAAATATATTTTTAAAATATATTTTTTTTTTAAAATGTATTCAGATTTTTTTTAACATATAAAAAAGTCATTTTAACATATATTTTTACATATATTTGTAAATGCATTTCAAAAATGTAGATTTGTACTTTTAAAGACATACAGTATACTTGAAATGTATTTTTAAAAATATTTTTCATATGTTTTGTAATAAAAACGCATTTTAACACGCAGTATCAATCTGTCTAAATACCAGCAAATGTTGTTATGCCATAAGGCTTCTGAAAAGCGGTGGTGTGTTTTTGATGCATTGATAGTGATTTATTTTTCTCTGTCTTCTTCACTTCAGCACTAAAATTCTAAGGTCTTACCCTTCCCAATTCTATCTAAACAAGGTTTTGGCTGCTGTTCCACATGTAATATTGTTTCTGTACAATAAATTCATATGGAGCCCCCATACATAACACCACACCTGTCCTATCGTTGATTATTTCTGAATTATGGATCAGTCTGTTCTTCTTCGGTTTCACAATGGAAAGGATGCACCATTGGCATTTCCTGGGTCACTCCTGAAAAATATGCAAAGCAGTGGAATTTTTTTTTTTATGTAACAAGATAAAGCTGCAACAGGGTTCAATCCCATTAAGAGTTAAATGAATACCAACAGGCCATAAAACTCTAACTCTAGTAGACAGCAGACACAAATCCCAACAGGAGAACTTCAGACTAGTGCGATTCTCAGAAGGGCAGTCTAAAGGTTCAACCCGAAGCCCGCTCTGATCTTCTTGTTAACAGGTAACGTCTAAATTCTGAAATATACTTTTAAATACACTATACTATACTATTAAATAGTTTTAGAACAGATCCCTTTAAAATGTTCAGTCCAGCCAGAGAACATACTTCAGATTTGTGTAACTGGCGGTTGGTGGAATCACCAAATACCTTTCTGAATTTCTTGAGGTCTCCTGCAGTTTCCAGATCCACCTCTCGATTCTAGTGATTATGAGGGGTTCTCACTCATACTATTGATCATGTTAATGTTACTGTGCCGAGTGAAACAATGAGAAGAACCCATTGTTGGATTCTTCAAAAAAGATATTAAAAAGAGGATTCAATTCTGAAGGGTTCAACTGTAGAATAATCATTTTGTTTTGGTGGACGTATCCTTTAGGATCTTGTTCACAGAAAGTGTGTCTATCACTCTTTGTTGTTATAGTGTATGACTTGCAGCTAATAAAATACCTGGGTACAACTGTACAAATGACATGGCTTGTATCTAAAGGAAAGATTAGAAAATTCTCTGCAGTGAATATACTTAGTGTTACTAAATCCGCTCTCCCCAGACCCTGCATTCACTATATCCGCTCTCCCCAGACCCTGCATTCACTATATCTGCTCTCCCCGGACCCTGCATTTGCTATATCTGGTCTCACCGGACCCTGCATTCACTATATCTGGTCTCCCCGGACCCTGCATTCACTATATCCGCTCTCCCCGGACCTTGCATTCACTATATCTGGTCTCCCCGGACCTTGCATTCACTATATCTGGTCTCCCCGGACCTTGCATTCACTATATCCGGTCTCCCCGGACCTTGCATTCACTATATCTGGTCTCCCCGGACCTTGCATTCACTATATCTGGTCTCCCTGGACAATGCATTCACTACATCCGGTCTCACCGGGCCCTGCATTCACTATATCTGGTCTCCCCGGACCCTGTATTCACTATATCCAGTCTCCCACAGTACACAGAACATGGAAATACAATTAGTATAGTAAACTGCTAAATACCTTTTCTCATCAGCAGTCAGGGCCATCTTTAATATTGATGGGACTCTGGACAAACATTTTCTTGGGCCCCCCCCCCCCATGCATTTTCGCTCCCCACCTGCTCTGAAACATACAATAAATAGCAGCTAAACTCAAAATCAGTTTACTCCAGCAGGTCAGGCAGCATTTGCAATTGATAGCCAAAGATTACAGCATATCATTACCGCTCACTGACTGGATGATAGAGGTTACAGTACACATTAGGGCTCACTGATTAGTTGCTAGAGGTTACAGCACATGATTTCTGCTTGCTGATTGGTTGCTAGAGGTTTCTGCACATCCTTACAGCTCACTGATTGGTTGCTAGAGGTTTCTGCACATCATTACTGGTCACTGATTTGTTTCTAGAGGTTTCTGCACATTATTACTGGTTACTGGTTACTTCACATCCTTACCACTCACTGATTGGTTACTAGAGGTTACAGCACTTAATTACATCTCACTTATTGGTTGCTGAAGGTTACAGCACATCTCACTGACTGCACACCATGGACTGAGAAGGTTAAGGGACCCACCAATAGACAGAAAACTCAGAAGACTCCTGGGATCATGGGCAGTGTGTGTGTGTGTGTGTAAGGGGGGGTGAGGAGGATGGGATAAGTAGCAGTTCTGGGGGCATGGGATGAGTGACAGTGCTAGTGGGGGGGATAGGATAAGTGGCAGTGCTTGGGGTGGATGGGATCAGTGGCAGTGCTGGATGGCTTCACCCTCCCTATGGCTATTTTTACACCAACCATCAATGTTAGGGGGGATTAAAACTGATGACCAAATGTAATGAAGAATTTACACTGACATCCAATGTATTGGGGAATTGTACACCAACAACCAATAAATTTCTACACTGGCCACCAATGTAAGGGGGAATGTACACTGACCACCATCAGTGGTGTTGGTGGCTGGAACCTTGGGGGGCATAATATACATATGAATGCCGCTACTATTTACATATGAATGATGCCTTTACATATATGTGAATGCTGACATGGTCTGCACACATGAGTCATCTGTACATGGCAATAGGACAGAGCTGGGCAGCATAATTAACCAGTTCCCGCCCGGCCAATAGCACAAAGGTGGCCGGGCAAGCAGCTCGTCTCTCCCCGTGGATGCCATATGGCGTCCTTTCAGTCATGCGCAGTGCGCCCACCCCCGCAGGGCCGCTCTGCGGCGCGATCTGTCACCGGCCGTGTACCTCGGACACGGCCGATGACAGATCTGTGTACCGGTGTAGCAGCAAGATGTGTACCCCCATGAAGATGTGTCTTCCTGATGCATCTGCGCATGTCACGGTTTTCGGCAGAAGTAGCAGATCACCATCAATAGCACAGAACTGCCACAGTTAACCCCTTTTAGGCTGCACCGCTGAGTACACGCACCGCTGAAGCTGATCCTGCAGATCAATAGCTGACGCTCCCGCAAGATGGATAGAAGCATCAGGGAAAGGAGAGAGGTAGGATGCAGTAGCTCTGTGATCGCTTGATCGTCTCTGAAACCGTGACATGCGCAGATGCATCAGGGAGACAAATCTTCATGGGGGTACACATCTTGCCGCTACACCGGCCCCGTTTCCAGTACCATGTGACCTGCTGTGACCAATCACAGCAGGTCACATGACAGTTGTATACAATGCATGGCTTCCTTTCATGCCATCCATTGTATACAAGTGTCTAGCTGTGAATGGTCACAGCGATCACATGCACAAGCTGGGCCAATCACAGCCCAGCTGTGTCATGTGATTAGCCGTGGCCAAATCACAGCTAAGCACAAAAAAAAACCTGAATGAATCGATGTCATTCAGGTAAATGATTGCTTATAGCAAAGTAATTCTTTGCTATAAGCAAATTGTGTTAAAAAAACAAAAAAACAAATACTGATCACTTCCCCAAAGTAGTAGAATGATACTATGGTAACATTATACTACTTTGGTAATAGTGAAAAAAAATCTTACAAAAAGAGAAAAAAAAGAATAAAAAATTAAAACTAATAAAAAAATTTTTTTTTTTTTTTTTGTACTGTCACCAGTCAGTGTCCCTGATCACCGCCATGCCGGTTATATGATGACGCTGTACGGCACTGGTGACAGTATGTAAAAAAAAAATTAGCGAAAATAATTTTTCTCATTTTCCGAAAAATTATGACAAAAAATTTACAACTTCAAAAAACTCGCCATGCCTTTTATGAAATATGTCGGACTGTCTACTTTGCAAAAAGGGGTCATTTGAGGGATATCTGTACTGTTCTGACATTCTTGGACCTCAAGAAATTAGATTGGCTGTCAGTACTTCAGGATTGATCAATTTTCAGATATATACCATAGTTTGTGAACTCTATAACTTTCCTACAAACTAAATAATAAATACTAATTTGGGTTATTTTCACTAAAGACATGTAGCAAAATACATCTTGGCCTAAATTTATGAAGGATAATTATTTATTTGCAAACTTTTATAAAAGAAACAAAGAAAAATGTGTTTTTTTTTCAAAATTTTTGGTCTTTTTTTGTTTAGCAAAAAATAAAAACCCCAGTGGTGATTAAATACCACCAAAAGAAAGCTCTAGTTGTGTGAAGAAAATGATAAAATTTTAGTTTGGGTACAGTGTTGTAGGACCGTGCAATTGTCATTCAAAGTGTGAGAGCGCTGAAACCTGAAAAATGGCCTGAGCAGGAAGGGGGTAAAAGTGCTCGGTATGGAAGTGGTTAACAGCACTTCACACTGAGATATCGGACACAGCCAAAGACAAAGACTTCAAGGGACAAGAGAATGTAAATCAGTGCAGTTGGCAAGTATGGGACAGTATTGGGTCCCACAACAATGACTGGGCCCAAGGCAGCTGCCCGTTTTGCCCCTCCTTAAAGACGGCTCTGTCAGCAGTATATAGTAGTCTTGTGACTTCTATCAGTGTCCAGCAGAGCACTAGTAAAGCAATACTAAAGGTTATTTTTATTTTTGTAAAATAACAAACATGTTATACTTGCTGTGTGTAGTGGTTTTGCACAGAGCAGCCTGGATCTTCCTGTTCTCGAGTCCCCTGTCGGTGCGCCTGGCTCCACCTGTCAGGTGCCCCCATAGCAAGCAGCTTGCTATGGGGGCACCCAAGCAGGCATGTTCCTGACCTGTTGCTCTGTGTGTCCATTCACACATGGAGCTGCGGCTTGGCCCCACCCCCTCTCTCTCCTCATTAGCTGACTAGCTTTGATTGACATCAGTGGGAGCCAATGACGTTTCCTTCACTGAGGAGGCAGAGACTCTGGAAAGCTGAGGCTGTCATGCACATCGATGAATCGCGATGCGGCTTAGGTAAGTATTGAGGAGGCTGGGGGAACTGCTGCACACAGAAGGTTTTTTACCTTTATGTATAGAATGCATGAAGGTAAAAACTTTGAGCCTTTACAACCACTTTAAAGCTTGTAGAAGGAGTTTTCATTCTCCCCTGATTGTCCTATGAGGCTTCTTAACCCCAGGTTCTCTGTCAGGACAGCACTGATTGGCCCTGTGCTGATCACATGCAATCTCCCAAGAAAAAAAAAAACTCTAGCAATACACACCAAACTGAGCATGTGCAGCTTGCCCCCAAGGATCTGTTCTATCAGCAGATGGATTGGGGACAGTAGAAGGGGAGGATCAGAGAAGACAGGATCAAACAGCCTTTTTAAACAATGTGGAGGATTAACCCCTTAGGTTCCGCAGTCAGTATAACAAGCTTGGTTTACTGCATATACATACTGATTTTACTGTTGTGGGTTTAGTAACACTTTACTGGCATTGTATATTTGGTATGTAGAATATGAAAGCATGAGCAGTTTTTGAGGTACTATGTTTTTATTATTTACATCTTATATTGCTTTATTATAATATAAAATAAATATGATATGAAAATATAATTTAAAAAAACATATTCTTTAATTTTTGTAGGGCAGCACTGTGGCTGAGTGGTTAGCCCTCCTGCCTAGCAGCACTAGGGTCAATGATTTGAATCCCAACCAAGGCACAACCTGCCTGGAATTTGCATGTTCTCCCTGTGCCTGTGTGGGTTTCCTCCTGGTACTCCAGTTTCCTCCCTCACTCCAAATACACTGCTCAAAAAAATTAAAGGAACACTTTGTAATCAGTATAGTATCAAATCAATTAAACTCCTGGGGTATTGATCTGGTCAGTAAGTAGCAGAGGGGGTTGTTAATCAGTTTCAGCTGCTTTGGTGTTAATGAAATTAACAGGTGCACTAGATTGGTAACAATGAAAAGACCTCCAAAACAAGAATGGTTTTACAGGTGGAGGCCACTGACATTTTTTCCCTACTCGTCTTTTCTGACTGTTTTTCACTAGTTTTGCATTTGGCTAGGGCAGTGGTTCTTAACCTGGGTTCGATCGAACCCCAGGGGTTCGGTGAGTCAGTCTCGCGGGTTCGGCGGAGGTGAAGACCCACACCCGACTCATATGATTCGTGATGACATGCCCCGCTTGTCCACCATTGGCTGCAGGTGGTCACGCAACATTGCTTAGCCCAGTGGTCGGCAAGCCGCGGCTCGCGAGCCACATGCGGCTCTTTACACGCTTTAATGCGGCTCTTGTGTGCCGGGCGCCCGCTCCCCTCCCTCCTCTCGGGCGGCAGGGACTCTGCAGCGTGATCCAAAAAAAAAAAAACAGCCAGGGCAGCGCGCTCAAATGCAATGATTGGCCAGTCTCGCTGCCACTCACATCCTGATAGCCAGTGATTGGCTGTCAGGATGTGTGTAGGAGGGGCAGCGTGACGAACGTGAGAGGAGCTAGGCTCCTCTCACAGTCCGCCCTGAAGACCGGAACAGCGCGGGAGGAACGCGCGGAGCAAAGGTAAGTGAATTGACACAGGGGGGACTTGGCTTACTACTTGCTAC